CAACAAGACATATATTTTTCTCAGTGCGAGACTACTCGAGCTATAATTTTGAAATTTTTTAAAAAACACAAAAGTCGATTCTTGCATAAATAAAATCTATTGAAACCTATTGATAACACATTGTATACAGCAAGTGATTTTGTAGGATATTGGCTCGAGGACTCGGAGGGATGACGATCCGACCCTCGATCGTGACATTCGGCGCCCAAATCCCACGATTGATTATTTATTCCGGGCCGCATTCTCCGAATCCGAGTTTCACACTCGACGTGAGATTGACCCCGCGTGCTTGACCCCCGCGGCAAGATATACAGAAGATTACCGGTCCGAGATCCCGCCGGCCAAATGACTCGCATCGTCGAGATCGTCCGTCCCGAATTCCTCGGGAAACATCGCCAAACGAATTAGAAGATTTAAAAGGACGGTTGCGGAAAAAAATGGCGGGGAAAATCCTAGAGATTATGATTCAATTAAATCCGAAAAGTGGATAAATTACTCATCTATTTGCGCGGATAGATTTCTCGCTGCATCGCACGCGATTGAATTCTTAGGAACGTCGTCATCAAGAACAGCTGTGCGCAATCTGGGCTTGCTTCCGCGCTAACTGCGTTAATAAAGTCGCTCGTGGCTCGCGTGGCATCGCGATGGAAGCTATTTGTGTCAGTTGCTGCAAGATTTCGCAAGCTTCGTCGAGAGAAAATCGCGAGAATAATTCCGGAAATTCGTTAGAATCGCTAGAATGAACAATCACACGTGCACGGTGTAGATGTTACACACACTTAGGTGTTCTTTGGAGAGCTGCTTCGTTTTCGGGACAGCCGCGAAATCCGCGGTAAACCGCAAAAGCGAGGATCTCCGAGCGCTGCCTTGACTCGAGCATCAGGACGAGCTGCTCGAAGAAAGGAAGGATCATCAGGGAGGCACCCTCGTGAAAAGAGGAGCCTCTCGAGAGAGTCGGATGGGTATCTTCGTCTCTTCTATTCCAGAGAAACGGGATTACGCGAAATCCCGGTCACTTTTATAGGAAGTATATATCCTCTTTCCAGACGCGAGGCTATCTGGAGCTGCTCCTTTCTCCTTGTCTTTCCCTCTCGCTCTTTTCAGCTTCTTCTCCCGTCTCCTTTCGTCTCCCTCGGTCGTAGAATCTTGCGGCGAAAGGTCAACATTGGCGATTCGACGATCGAACGTAAGCAGCTGCTGCTGGCTCGATTCTTTCTCTCTCTCTTTCTTTCGAGTATCTCGATTCCAGGACTCGTCCCTTTTAACCCTCGCAAAGGGCCCATCCGGACCTAATTCGCCGTGAAACGAGGCGGGCCGACTTGCGCAAACGCGCGTAAGCGAGGATTTGGAGGATCCGGACGATGACACCGCTCGCCTCTACCCGATTTTCTTATAATTCGTAGAACGAGCGTGCGACCTCGTGACTCTCGGCAACCGATCGGGAGACCAGCGGGACGTCGCCGAGATTTATTCGAGAGTCGCAGGATGCTAGCTTCTCTGGAATGGAAAATAATCCGTGCAATAAATACGAGCTGGAACTCCAGATTTTGATCAAGCTCCAATTATTTCGCTCTTGGATTTTGAAATATTTCCGTATACATTTATTTGTGTGTATAAAAGCTGATATTCTTAAATAAAATAATTTGAATAAAGCTTGAAAAAAATCTTGTAAAATATTCGTCGTTAATTATTAATTATTTATGAATTTAATTAAATTAATTTGAATAAGGCTTGAAACAATCTTGTCCAATATTCGTCATTAATTATTAATTATTTACGAATTTAATTAAATTAATTTGAATAAGGCTTGAAAAAAATCTTGTCAAAAAATATTCGTCATTAATTATTAATTATTTATGAATTTAATTAAATTAATTTGAATAAGGCTTGAAAAAATCTTGTAAAATATTCGTAATTAATTGATAATTATATATGAATTTTTCACCACTTGTAGAAATATATTTTTCAGAAAAAAATGTTCACATTTATAAAAAATTAATTAACATTACGCTTATTGCAATTAATTAATATTGCACTTATATTTGCAAAAATAATTAATTAATTTCAAAGTTACGGGTTTAGGGAGATTGAATAAAGACAAGTCGACAAGCGTAGAGTTTTTGAGTAGAGGTATCACACATTTATAAATTTTCAAGTAAATACACAGTAGATAACGATTTACGGTACAATTTATAGTTAGTTGCACGAGATAACCGTCCCTCGCTTTCAAAGATCCTTCATCCCGCGTCACCCCCCCCTCCTCTCTCTCCCTCTGTCTCTCTTTCTCTCTTCAGCATCTCTCTCGTAGATAAAATTATCGCATAGATAGATAACTAATTATCGCAAATATCGTCTGACTATTCGCATTGGATATTAAAGCTCCGTTGACGCGGCAAACAGATCAAAGATCTCTCCGATTAAATAGATTGTCAACTAATCGTTACGTTCACCAGGATGTATGAGTGAATCTCTCGTCATCTCGAGGAAGAAAAAGAAAAAAAAAAAAAAGAAAAGTGTCGAGTCTCTCGAGGAGTTAATGCGATAACAGGCGCGATATAACGGGTGGTTTGGAAATTTTCGCTTGAGCTTTTCCTCTCCTCCATTTCGAGCCGCCTGTCGCGCAGCGTGTCTGCGTGTCTGTCGCGTTAATTATTATATTTAATTCGCGATCGGATCGGATCGGAAACGGATCCCCTTGTAAGGAGACTGCTTATTGGATGTTCCCTTCCGCCCTTTCTCGTCTCTTTGATATTAAAACACACACCCGGCTCACCTTTATTACCGAACTCATTAACGCACGTTGGAGCATGACCGAAGTTGTCGCGCGCGGCCATCGATATTATCGTAACAGGACGAGGGGGAGAGGAGGGGGGGGGGAGGACGAAGGGGACTTACTTGCGCGTCGCTGATGATCGCGACGTTATCTCGTTCGCGGTTGCTGCCTCGATTTACATGTAAACACCTCGTCCGACCCGATAAGGCTCAATTAAGTTACGCCTTTTAATTAATAAGGGTACGCTAATCGACATCGATCTCCGGACCCCTCCCTCTACTTTGTATCTCGATGGCATCGCACGGCCGTGTTCCCGCGATGCCACGTGGGGGGACGCTCCCCCCGTCTCGCGAGAGAAAGCATATCCATCCCACGACTTTTTAAAGCTAGACTCTTATTATTTTTATTTTTTATTTTTTTTCGAGACGATCATTCTTCGATTCAAATTCATGAATTCGATGGGCGAGTTTTAAACGTATGCAAATTGCGTGGAAAAAAGGGAACACCCTGTATATAAAATCGTTAAAAATTCGGTAACAACGATTACACGATTATATGATTTATTAGAAAATTTCGAGCCGTCGAGGAAATTTATATCGCTCTGATATCCAGTGATGTCATCGGAGAGGGAGGGGGAAGGAAAAAAACATCCGGTGCTATGGAAATAAATCGGGCGTCGAGCCGAGGCAGCAGCAGAAGAAGAAGAAGAATATCTTGAGCGCGAAAAAAAAGGTTTAGAAGAGAGAGAGAAAGAGAGAGAGAGAGAGAGAGAGAGAGAGAGAGAGAGGAGAGAGAGAGAGAGAAAGAGAGAGAGAGAAACGGTGAGAGAAAGGAAGACAGAGACGCGCGGAGGGAGAAAGAGGGGAGACAGAGAGAAGAAGGGAGAGAGCATGATGCTATACATTGTACATATACACATCTATAGTCAGTTTTACAACAATAATAATGCTCGATTAAAGATTGGTCGGTGTATGCGTGATTTATCATTTAATTTATTTTAAGTTAAAACCTTCTTTTTACAATGATATCTTACAATGTGTCGCTTTTTACATCCAACAGACATCCTTGCGCGCGCGCAAGGATCGCTCCCCCGCCTTCTCCTCCCTCCCTCCACCCCCCCTCTCTCACGATATCCTCCGAGCCCTCTCGCGAGTTTGTGCGGGTGTCGGCCTCTCTTAAAAATCATATACTTCTGTGTGTTCTGTTTTTTATTGATTTTTTTTTACACAAGCTACAGCTACTTCCTAATAATACTATTAATAGATACTTCCTTCTCGCCCCTCTCCTCTCTCCCTCCGCCCCTCCGTCTCCTCCTCTTTACGGTCGGGAATACGCGCGATCTCGCCGATCGAAGGTACAAATCGATCGATACCTCGACTCCTTCCCCCTCTCCTCCTCCTCCTCCTCTTCCCCTTTCAGTCTTTTGGAAAATCGCCGCTACCTCCTCGTCTCGTTTCCACCCCTCGTCCTTATCCGCGGCGAGAGGAAAAAGTATCGCGCGATGTCTTCCCGGATACATATATATATTTCATCAATATATATATATATATATATATATATATATATATATATATATACATATTCGCCCTCTTCCTCCGACCCTCTCTTCCTTCCCCCCCTCCCCCCGTGTTATTATCTATGTACGTCTAGCTAGATTCGCAAAAAACATACGCGAGTGATAAAACCTCTAGAATCGAAAAATCACAATTGTATTCGGAACTCAAGCGAGTGAGTCTCTCTCTCACGAGCAGCAATCAATCAGTGGACAATCAATCGACGATGATCGATAATGATAATGACGGTTCCAACGATCGCCCCCTTCCACCCTCCCCCTCCCGCCGATATATATATATATATATATATATATATATATATATATATATATCTCGCCCGATGAGTCGAATTATAATATGTATATCCTGCCTGACTATTTATATGCGTAGTTTGCGTTTATGTGATGCGGAATTAATTGCTAATTATGCACAATCACTTGACGTCGCGCGTCTCGATATATATATATATATATATATATATATATATATATAATATATATATATTTTATTTTCATTTGCATATATATATATAAATATAAATATATATATATATATAATTTGTTATATATATAATATATATATATATATATTTTATTTTCATTTGCATATATATATATATATATAAATATAAATATATATATATATATATATATATATATATATATATACTATTATTACAATAACGATACACAATTTCGAAGATACAAAATTTACACTTGCATTAATTAATCGTGTGCCGGCTCTCGCTGCTGTTCGTGGTGTGCGTGTATGTGTGTGTTTACGTGTGTGTGTGTTTACCTGTAAGTGTGTGGATTCCTCGTGTGACTAAATTATGAAGCTAATCCGGCGATCGCGTCGTCGACGATCGATCTTTCCCTCTCCTTCTCCTCCCCCCCCCCTCTCTCTCTCTCGCCAGAGGCTTCGTGTATAATTTACGAGTTTACCCTATGCGCTTTTATTACACTTACGTCAACTATCACTAACCGGTACGACACACACGGAACGGTGCTGGACCAATGGACGCCGACAGGTGTAGAGAGAAGGTACGTGTGTTCGAATGAAGGAAAGAAAATTTGAAGAAAGCTCAATCTCGAGGATCAGCATCGACGAGTCCGAGATGTCGCGAGAAGCTTCAATTCCTGGGAAGCGAATTATGTTTCCGGGGACCTCTCTATCGGCTCTTCTTAGACCTCGAAGGAAGAAGAGAGATAACCTTGACATAATCTTGCTGTGCGATAAAAAGAGGTGGTCACTCTTAAAAAAAGGGTTGGCGAACTTCTTGTTGAAGAGAAATACAGGGCGAGAGGTTGCCACTTGTCGCCTCCGACGAGTTTCATCTTCGCGAAACGTCCAAACGATCCCGCACCGCGAGTCACGCGAACTCTTCCTCCATTTAATAAGACTTCCTCTCTCTCTCTCTCTCTCTCTCCCTCGAAAAATTGCACGATGTCGCGCGTCGACTCCCATGCAAAGCGTGTCGCGCGCTTGCGGCTCGTCTCGGCTCTCCCGGGATCGATTCCAGGTGAAGGCGTGACATTTTTACGCGCGAGAAGGACCAAGTTCCGCGCGACACAGTCCTCGACCGCCCGCCTGGAATGCATCCCGAGGAGAGCCGGATAAGAAAAAAGGACCAGGTTCATCGCATGTACACTCACCCTTCCATCACACGCACACGCTCGCATGCGCATATAATATATATATATATATATAATATATAATAAATTCTTGTCTCTATGTAATATTTATTTACACATGCTATATATATCATACATATGTATATGATATATATATGTAATATATAAGACTCGATACAGTAGCTGATTTTTTTCCTTTGTACTTGGGGCCGGGGCTCGATGGCCCTAACACGTGAGACTTTACATATTTACAGGAGCTTTCACTTTTTTATAAGAGAGATCCAACGGACGCGCTGCTCTCACGATCGCGCAAGGACGACGTGAGCCCTGGATACGTGTCCGGACGCGTGTTGTCCCGCGGGAATGTCCCTTTCTTTTTTTTCCTCCCCGCGTCGTCGGTGATCGATTGTTGGCTCCTTCGCGAGGGAAGGAGGCGCCCGCGTGCGAGAAAGAGAAGAGGAGCGTTTTCGTGTATATATGTATATATATATTCGCTTCTTTCGTCCGTTACTTTTTTTACGTTTCTCCTTCCTTTTTCTCCCCCTTAAACGCATTTTACAACATTACGAGACAGTGGTGGGCTGCGTCCTCCTGAGTTGCTTAATCACTCGCGATTCATGTGTACTCCGATCGCCAGCCGGTCTGAAACCAGACAAAGATTACCACACTCCTGACGTGCTGCTGCTCCACTTGCCGGTCGTGAGAGTAAAGGCTCTCCTTTAGCGATTAATGTTAGGGAAACACGAATGGCCGGCGAAAAAAACGCTGCATAAATTCCTGGGCGATTCCAAGGAATTAATTCTTATTTTATTAGATGTAAATTCGTAAATTTATATGACGCATATTTATATACTTAAGGATTTTTTTAATCCTTAAGGATGTTTTGTACCTATTTTCAAAATATTGAGAATTTAATGAAAATTGTATAGAATGTCCTTACATATGTTTAGAATCTTCAGTACATAGAGAAAAATGTATACTGTATTCAAGTAAATATTATTTATTTAAATATATTTATTTATATCATCAGTTTGTATATCCGCAAATATATTATAAGTTCACCACAAGCATTAAATTTAATTGAATATATTCTGAATTTCAGTAAGTGTAGTATTTTAGTCAAGAATTTTATTAAATTATTACTTAAATTATTAATTATTAAATTATTACTTAAATTATTAATTATTATATTAAATTAAAACAAAAATTTGGTTTGCTTACTACAAGAGTTGACGTAAAATAAGTTTGATTTTTTTTTTATACAACTTTACAATATATTCTTGAAGAGAAAATAAATTCTTCTTCTGAATACATGATAATAAGATTTTCTAACACTTGTGATGAGTATATTTTAAGAATATTATCAAGAATATATTCTTTGTTGAAGAAAATTATTACTTAAAAAAAGAAAAATAAACTTAGTAATCGCTTTTCTTGGCAGTAGAATGATATTTTTCTCTGTGTACAATTTTTAAATCGATTCACTAAAGCGTTGACAAGTTATAAGGATTTTAATTTGCATCGAATTAACATGTGTTCTTATGGGAAACGTATAACCACGTCGATTCAAATGACAAAAACACATGGAAATAATATTCAGAATTTGTTGAAAATTTGCAAAAGTTTAGATACAGAGGAAATATTTGGTCAAATAATATTATACAAGTACTAACTGGTTAAAAAGATATTAAATATAATTCAATCAAGTTAGCCATGTATCTGTCACAAGGCGAAATTCTCTGCCAAAAGTTAATCATTTCGATTCACAAAATTCGGAATATTTCAGTAAAAACACAATAAATATTAAAAAATACATCTCTGCACTGTAGTTAAGATCAAATTGTAATATTCCACACAATTTCTTACTCAAAATACATCAAAAGTGGATATTCGTCAATATTAATTTTCAGCTACTTTTTGCTGGGATTGTACATACAAAACATCCTTAAAGCAAATTTTAAAAAAATTGACAGATACATATATACATATTAAAATTGTTAAAACTGTAAATAAATATTTAATCAAAATATTCAATCAATATATAATTATTAATTTAATTATAATTAAATAATTATATATTAATATAATTATTAATTATTATATATTAATATAATTATTAAATTGTAATTATTAAACTTTTATCAAAAACTTGTCGAACAAAATAAGAAATGTTTAAATTCCTCCAAATGAAATGAGACTAAAATAAATCTAAACGTTCAAGTTTTAGGAAGACGACATTATTAAGCTCGATTTGCGACTCGAAGAAAGCAGAAGGCAGAGCTCAACAGATCCCGCTGGATAGATCAACTATCAGTGGCCTTTGGATAAGATCGCGCACTCACCATCGCGTTCGTCGTGGCCAGCTGCAGACCCTGAAGACTCGTCATGTGATGAGAATGGGAATGCGAATGCGAGTGCGGGTGGATGGGGGGCGGCGCCGGTGGCGCAAATCCCTGATGAAGACCTCCGGCCACGCCGACACCCGTGTGATACATGTAATGCTGCATCGCCGGGTGCATCGTGTGATGGTGTTGGGATGTACCTGGAACGATAAGACGAGAAGCGTCGCTCTATTAATATCTGTTCGCGTGAGAGAGACCTTTAGCTCGACTCTCTCTCTTCAATTTCAATAGAACGAGATTAAAAATATTCCAGATATCAATCTTATTCTCGTCAGTCCTTGTTAAAGTTTTTCGCCAATCATTTTCGATTTAAAGGACCTTCTAGAGCAACCGAGCAACTGTTACAATTGCATGTTCATGATGACAATTGTCAGCAAGTTTCTTCAGTGTTTTGAGATGAATAGATAGGTGAAGCTTACGGAGGGTTGGACTTACCCATCGGCGCACCGAATCCAGAGTGGAAGGGTTTGTTGTCGAGATCGAGATGCCCACTGGCCTTGATCATGTCACCCATGACACCGCCAAGGCCCAGGCAGCCGCCGGCCTTCTTCTTCTTGCTTTTGGACGAGAGTTTCCTGTTTCTCGTCTGGATGCCCTCCTTCTTCATCGTCAATGGCCGGTTCACCTGCAACAGTCGTAGACAACAATTTGGTAAGTTTAGAGCTATTAATTCTAAAAGCGAATTTACGCGCATGACATTGCGTTGCAAACAAACGGGGGATCGAGATCTTTAAATTTACAGAAATTTAACAATTATGATAAAAAAAAAAACGAATGAAATTAAGAGATAGTCCTTATGATGAGGAGAAAGACGAGTCGATAAAACGCGAAAAATCAAGGATAAACTGAAATCATTGACGCGAACACAATGCGGTGACGTAATGCGATGGGGAGAGGAGGGGGAAGACGTTATTCAGCAGAGTGCAACGCGATGCATTCTCCGTCGTAAATCATCGCGCGTTGCATGTTCGACGGGGAAACACACACTCCCGCCTCTTCTTCATTCTAGGCTTCAGCCTGTCATTTTTCTCACTCCCTCGCTCCCCTCCCCCCTCGCCCCCCCAAGTCAATTCTCATCGCGCGAGTTCATTTCACTTGTAATAATGGATTTAAGAAAAAGTTGCTCGATCGAAGAAGATTCCCTCTGAATAAGAGTCCCTCTTCCTCGCAAGATGAACGTTATACAAGTCGATCGGTGAGAGGAGAATGATTCCTCTTCTGTGTTTTTGATCATCGCACTGAGAAAAAAATCTGATTGCATTAATTAGAATTCTAGTAGATTCAGCCAGTATGTCTGTTGGAAAATGGACGAACCAGAATTCTTGTAGGAATTACCAGGTGAATCTTATTAAATTCTTCCTGTTAAATTTATCAAATTTTCTAGTTAATAATATTAAATCCACCAGCACCAAGTCGTCTAAAATCTTTTCCATCTCAAAAATCTGTTTAATATTCTGAATTCCAACAAGATTATTGGATAAATTCAATCTAGATTATTGAATAAATTATTTTAAGTTCAGTTTGTTAGAAATTAAACTGCACTGAGAAAATAATCTGGTTGCATTAATTAGAATTTTGGTAGATTCAACCAGTATGTCTGTTGGAAAATGGACGAACCAGAATTCTTGTAGGAATTACCAGGTGAATCTTATTAATTTCTTCCTGTTAAATTTATCAAATTTTCTAGTTAATAATATTAAATCCACCAGCACCAAGTCGTCTAAAATCTTTTCCATCTCAAAAGTCTGTTTAATATTCTGAATTCCAACAAGATTATTGGACAAATTCAATCTAGATTATTGAATAAATTATTTTAAGTTCAGTTTGTTAGAAATTAAACTGCACTGAGAAAATAATCTGGTTGCATTAATTAGAATTTTGATAGATTCAACCAGTATGTCTGTTGGAAAATGGACGAACCAGAATTCTTGTAGGAATTACCAGATGAATCTGATTAATTTCTTCCTGTTAAATTTTTCAAATTTTCTGGTTAATAATACTAAACTTGCCAGCACCAAGTCGTCTAAAATCTTTTCCATCTTCAAAAGTCTGTTTAATATTCTGAATTCCAACAAGATTATTGGATAAATTCAATCCAGGTTATTGAATAAATTATTTTAAATTCAGTTTGTTAGAAATTTAATTGATAAACAGTGATCCATGAAGAGGATCCAGCTCCAACACACAATCAGAGAGCTAGCGTCCTCTTTCTGGCACTACTGCTCGTCAGAAAAAAAAATACTTTGGATTTAATACTAGTTCTTTATATACATTTTATTTTGGCAAATATGGAAAACGAGTTAAGTTAAGAGTGGCAAGCAAAGAAATTAATGTAACAAAAAATTTTATAGATCCAACCAGAAAATACTAACCAAATGCTTATAGTAAAATCTATTAAATGTTCTAGTTATGAAAAATCGAGTCTTATCATGATAACTAGAAATTCTTGTTTGATTTATCCAAAATGCCTTCGATCACATACGTCTTGTTCGTACAATCAAACGATTTTTCTCAGTGCAAGATTAGCTAAATTTTATTTTCGTAAGCATGCGTTGGATAATTATCGCGCCGGAATTATCGGACGTAATTAAGAGGTATTTACATTTGCCGGCCGTTTTGTTATTCCTCGAGCCGGGGGCCAATTTGCATGAAAATGCGCGGCAATTGCGCGAAAATTGCGAATTTCCCCGCCTCGTGGAAACCCATATTGCCAGCGGATAAATTGGTAAGTGCCGATAAATAACGGAACTGGACCCTCTTAACCCAAATAGCGCGAAGGGGGGGCAAAAAATATTGGCGCTCTTCTAGAATCGATTCCGCGAGAAAGCGAGCGGAAGGGACGTCGCCGACGCAATTTCGCCGGCTTGTCGGACGAGAACGCAATTAAAGAAAGATCCCTCAGATTCTCGGTAGTCTCTGGAAGTCGGTGCAATTAACGAATCGACAATCGTCCTCGAGGGCAATTCGCGAGATGCTACGTCACCAGAGAGATTCTCGCGCGGCCACGCCTCGCTCGCAAAACAGAAGAAACGGCATTATTTCCCTCGCCGGGAGGAGAAGGAGGAGACTTTTTTATTACTTCCATCGGAATTAACGTTTTAATACGCCTGCTAAAAATACACTTGCCCAGCGCGAATGATTCGGGACTTTGACTTGGGAGGCGCGACTCGATCAGCTGATTTCACCGACGCATCATCGCATCAGCGTAATCTCGAGGGGGGGGATTAAATAGGGCGAGGTGGATTGCGTCACAGCATTGTTTTCCCGTCGAGAAGAAGAAACCGCATTGTCCCGACGATGCTTGAAAAGTGCGGAAGTCGCATCTGCCGAAGCTGGCGCTACGAGACGTGTCTTTATTAATTAATGCTTTGTTTGTCCGCCCGCCTAAGACTAATGAAATAATAAGCTCGCGTGAAAGGAAGCTGGGATCCAAGGGATGATCTTTGCTCGAGGGGAAATTATTACGTCTCTCCGTTTCTAAAAAAAGGCGTCGAACTCGAAGAACTCGCTATTTAAGACAGCGACCGGGTCGGGAGAGGAGCCCTTCTGTATCTCGATAACTGGAAAGATGTGCAAAGTCGAGAACTCTGATCAATCCAAGAGCCAATAAGATAAATCTCCATCAAGAGACGTGCCTCGCGAAGAAACTCGTCAACTCGAACGATGCCTTAATTAATTCAGCTCACCCTGTATAACGGCGAGACGCGCGCTCATGAAATGCTCGGGCACGAAATAAGTATGGTATGCAAGTGTTGTGTGTTGCATCGGACCGAGGGGGCGAGGGGGGGGGGGCGGGAGGAATCGCGGCGCTTTTGTAGTCGCCGCGACGTGACGCAACTGCCAACTTGGGAGAAAAGGTTCCCGGTATTGCGCTGGACGCGAAGGAGGTGCGTATGTGTGCATATACGCGTGTGTGATGCGAAAGCGCATCATCCTCCTTTCCTCCCCCCGCTTCCCTGACCGCCCACCCCCGGGCGCGATTTTTTCTCGCTCGTCTCTCACCCTGAACTCGTCCAGACGGTCAACGACTCTTTTCGGAATTACGCAATTGGGCGAAATTTGCCGAATTAACGGTCGCTCCCTTCCTCGGGGCGAAACGCGCGGCGACTCTCTGTGAAGAGCCGCGTCTTCTTCCCTGACGTCGCATCAGCGCGAGAAGATTAGGTCTATATCAGGATATATCAATTTTTGTATCCTTTATTCTTAGGATTTTAACCGACTCGAAGTCTAATAAATTTTATCGAGAGAGAATCAGAATTAATTTCTGGGTTTAATATTGAATATATATTTTTAAGGAGGATTTTTTTGGAGAGTATGGAATAATTATTTTTCAGATCTATTAGAATTGTTTTATGTGCAAATTTTGATTCATTTATTTTCTTAATTCTAATTATTCTTTAAATTAATATTATAGGTTCAATAATTATTTTAATACGAGGATTATTGCCTCGAATTGATATGTTGGAAAGTATTTTACTATTAGTTTTAATATATAAATTTTTCAGTATAGGTTTTTATTCGAATTTATACAAATTATTATTTAAATATAATTCTATTTATTCCAATTATTATTTAAATCTAATTATTGCTTCCTTAAGACGAAACGCGCGGCGACTTTGTGAAGAGCCGCGTCTTCTTCCCGGACGTCGCATCAACACGAAAAGATTATATATATATATATATATATATATATATATATATATATCAGGATATATCAATTTTTATATCCTTTATTCTTAATATTTTAATCGAAGTTTAATAAATTTTATTAAAAGAGAATCAGAATTAATTTCTGGATTTAATATTGAATATCTTAAAGGGGGATTTACGTTGATTTTTTTAGAGAGTATGGAATAATTATTTTTTCAGATCTATTAGAATTGCTTTATTTGCAAATTTATTGATTCATTAATTTTCTTAATTATTTTTAAAATTAATGTTATAATAGGTTCAATAATTATTTTAATACGAGGATTATTGCCTCGAATTGATATGTTGGAAAGTTGTTTTAATATAAAAATTTTCCAGTCTAAGATTTTATGAATTTATTTAAATTATTATTTAAATATAATTTTATTTATTCCAATTATTATTTAAATATTTCTTAATCTACTGTCGCGTAGACATAAAGCGATGAAATCTCACGTCTTTTTATAAGATAAATGTCATGATCAAAGCTTCAAATGCGGCTATCATTTTACATAAGTACATCCAAAAGGTATAGTATCCAATTTTTTACAATTTTCATATCGTCTGGATTATTACAGCTATATGTAAAAGACTATAGAATATCAAGTAGCGACCGTTAATGGGCCTTTTAATAAGCGACAACCCGCGACAGGGAGAACAACCGGAGAGAGAGCGATGCGGGGGTGAAGGAAGGACGCGAAAGCTCGAACCAATTTGAATACAATACGAGCGAGATTTAATAGGGAACCACCGGAGATGGGTGGGAGAGTCCGCGGGTGTCCGAAAGCGCGAGGTGCAAACAAAAGAGACGAGAATGCGTAGAATAGAAAAAGATACATACACATATACACGTATAAAGAGAACGGGATATTTCAAAGGAGCAGAAAAAGGTGGACGAAAACGACTGAAAGGAGAAAGAAAGAGCGGGGCAGGCGA